TATTAATTTTTAATAATCTTCGCTTTCTTATCACAAATAAAATTAAGCTTTTTACAGAGAAATACTTTTTTACATAACCAATTAATTACATTTTAAATACTTAATTTACAATACTTAAGTTTCTAAACATTTAAACTGTAGTTAAATACTTTATGTCACTATGTAATATATATATATATATTATATATATATATTATTTTATAATTATATATTATAGGATATTTATGAACTCTGTATTTTCATTTTTACACATGTTTTTTGATATATTAGTTTTCAAACAAATTTTATTCTATCTTAACTTTTTGGTTATTTTATTAATTGTATTTAATTTAAGAATACTTTTTTTATTTTAATTACAAATAGCAATTATAGTTTTTTATTATACTAAGTTCCAGTAGAAAAGTTAGGAAATATTTTATATGAAATCTTGGTAAAGGTAAATGTAGTTGGTGAATTTAATAAAATCTATACCAATTACTAAGGAATCTGGGAAAGGATTACAAAATTAATATTTTTATCCTTAATAATGAAGAACAAACAAATTTTTTGTTTATGAACTTTTTGAGGAATATCAAGAGAACTTGATCCTCTACGGCCAACATTATGGCCTTCATTCGGTAGGCGGAATGTCTTCTGTTCGGTTAGGGTCTGTTGCAGCACAAAAGATCAATCTGGTCGCAGTTCCCCGCACCGTTGGGAACTAGTACCCCATTCATTTTTATTCTATTATATTCTATCAATGGAAGTTACATGAGGTTCTAAAGTTTGTAATTGTTTTCTTTTTCTTTCATCTTAACAACAGAAGTGACCTTATTTCGAGATAAATCAGTTCGCCATTGTAAGGTTATAATTTGCCTGCCTTTAAAGCAAATTAATTTGCCAAGGAATATTGAAGTCAATTAAAATATAGCAGACAAATTATATAACAGCAAACCAGTTCACCATTGGATGGTTGAACGGAACTAAAACTATAGTAGTTTATTATATATTAAATGCAGCACTTATTGCAAGATTTTATATTATTATACATATGATTTCCGAAAGGTTAAGGTCCGAAAGGTTCTGAAAGGTTAAATTGGTTGGGAAGAAGAAACTACTATATTGAGATAACCGAAATTGATAACCTAAGTCAAGTGGAAATGCAAGAAAGAAATATATATTTCTTCATCCAAACCCAAGTATAATTTTATAATCTTCACTAGACTTCTATGATGATTTATATAAAATATAAAATAACAATATTATGCAGTAATTATTCGATTAACTATAGCTATATCATATAGTACTGGGCTTAGTTGGTCATTTCATAAAATTTTATTTTCATGTGTAAATATAACAAGTGATATTGCCTGAAAGTGTCATGGAATACAGAACAGAACATGGAATACAGGTGTTTGTGACTCTATTGAAATAAAGCTTTGGCGACATGATAGTACCTATTAAGGTTATGAAATGAAAGAGTACCAAGATAAAACTTATTTTCCAATAAAGAATTATCTCATTACATGATGGACCGGTCATGATAGACCAAGTGTGCTTGTTATAACTTTCTTTCGATGGGAATATTTCAGTTGATCCAGATGAATTGATTGACATTTCATTGAGAAAAACGCCATGGTAAGGTATTTTTAAAAGAACTTTTTTTTGCTACGTACCTAACTCCAATATCCAAATTCCAAACTCCAAACACAAATGAAAGATGTAATATTAAAGTATGATATGCACAAGGATCCACTCAAAGGCTGGGAGTAAAGGTTCTGTAGACAAATAGTGCCAATTATCAATTTATTTAAAAATGATTTCTATTGCGAATAACAATAATCTATAATAGTCGGAACTTTTTAAAGAGAGTGAGGAAGTATTCCGTTCATTAACTTTTCTATTAATATTTCATTTTCCTACAATAGGAGTTTTTTCTTTTTTATTATAGGCAATATTTTCTACATATTTTCATTATTCTAAACAGTTTTGTTTTGTTTTTTTTTTCTTAATATATTACAAATTGTTTTGTTTCATTTAGAAAATTTTTTCTATTGTTTGCTACAATAATTGCCAGTGAATAAGATTTTACTATATATTTCACAATGTACACAGACGACAGATACAAATACAAAAATGTACATTAAAACCCGCATTTATCCGTACCAATTCATGTTAATCTACACACGTAAATACATACAATTTTATTTAAATGTTTAATAAGTTTTACATTTCATATTAACACGTCGTGTTTACTAAATGCATCTATAATATATAAACTAACACTAAAACTAAATACAACATTAAGTTATTACAAATAAATTATTTATGCTTTGTATTTATTGTATCCTTGCTTAAATATTTCTCTCCTTTAATTACTACAACAACGGCATTTAATATTAAAATTAAATTTTTAGTGAAATTTTTATCTATAGTTTTTAATAATAGAGTTTTTCCAAAAATACAGGAGTGGAAATGTTGAAAAAAAATAATGAGTTTTTATACAAAAAGGATATGTTTCATATTGTGTAAGGATATGTGTAGGTTGAAACTATTGCTATTCGAAGTATTTTGTTTTTAATTAATAAATTTTCAAGGAAGGATATATTTACTTATTCATATATATATATGAATACTCTACTCTAAAAATAAGTTAACAAAATTAAACTGAAAATAACATGTCCTTGTTAACCAAAAAAAAAAAAAATCGAAATTGTTAAATATAAAAACTTTAAACACACACCACAAATCGCTTTAAATCGTGTAAAAAAATGAGCTGTGTAAATCATTTTACACGCTCAATAAAAACTTTTTCATTTATTGTCGTAACTTTGTTATTTTGTCGCCCCCCTATGGGCTTCCTTGTTCAGATTTTTCAAACGCCACTGCAGAGGTTGCCAATTGCCTACGCTCCATGCCTCCACTAATTCTATGCTGCGGCGTTCTTTATTTTTATTGTAATTGTACTTTTGTAAAGTTTTCCATTTTTATTGTTCACTTGTTGGTTTTTGTGGAAAATATTGTTAACAATATTAACTGTTATTCTCTTATTTTTAGGACTATCTAGGGTCATAGTAAAAAACAAACGACACCTACTGACCGCACCCACGAAATTGTTGCTTCAAATTTCACTTGAAATGAGAAAACGCATAAAAGAATTTTAGAATTTAGTCAAAAGGACTAAAAAGTAAAAGTTTGCTCGTTGTCAATTTTTATTAGGCACCTCGGGACATATTGATCCGAGGTAGATAGCCCAACAAACATAAACAAAATATTAGTGAGTACTAAAATATATTGTTAGAAATTTTAACTTTAATAAAAAGTTAAAATTATATAAAAGTGTTTTCTTTAAATTAGACAAGCTTCACTTGGTATAAAGTCAATCTGTGTTGGTTTAGTAGGAAGGACTACTGTTGGTAGTAATAATGATGGGTTTGCAAAATTATGTTAAGTGAAATTAATTAAAGTTACTCCCAGCGCTTTGAACCAGAATTTTTTCGTTCCGGTTTTCGTTCTGGTTCAAAACAAAAAAAAAAATATATTTGTTTGGTTCTGGTTTTTGCTCCGACAAAAATTTCGGCTTTTCTCTGTTTTTGGTTCGGTTCCGGGTTGAAGTCCTAGTTTTTCCGCTGATGAATAACAATCTGATTTACTCTACTTGTTATGTATCAAGCCATTGACTATGCTTAAGTCAATGCTTAAGTCGCGAATGAGTTGGCTATGCTTAAGTATTACCCAAGTATACCTCAATTTGGGGGATATAGCTACACAGAACGCTGTCATGATTCTTAAGTTTGCAGAATATGCTAAAATATTCTGTCATTTGGTAAGAACTAAATGTCCGAATGTTGGGGTTATGGAAACTCATAAAAACCTAGCGATCTTTCCTGGAGAGCGCGCATGCAAATACATGCGTGGTGGTTACTTCACTCTAGCTGCTGTTCTAAAAAGATTGAATAACAGCGAATGTGACTCTCTTATTTAGTAAAAGCATATGAACTGCACACTCAGTATATATGTCGATTAGTATTCAATGGAATTCAACAAAGCTATATCTTTAACTGATCTCACTAGGAACCCGAAGGTTTATATAAGGCAATTTCGTTGCTAACCAGTTCAACCTATCTATCTATAAGGATTAAATTTTGAATAAAATGTTTCAAAGCACAATATTTCTTTAAAAAGATAAGGTAATCAATGTTTAATTAAAATTAAATTAATTATTTAAAAATATGATTAGTAAGGTTCATATATTATTATTTCTGTTACCTTATAACAACTTCATAAATAAAATTTAAGGACATAGAACGAAATATAATACAAATTTAAATAAAATATAAATAACTGCAGTATGAATATTAACCACAACTCCTTCAGGACATAAATAAAAGTACATTAAATTACATTAATATTATAAATTTGGTGTAAAAGTCAAAGGATATGTTTCAGTTGAAAGGATATGTAGGCTATACATAAAATATTCACACATTTACACTAACTGTAATATATTACTCGTAAACTAATATTTATCTTAAATTATGGAAAACTGACATTTACTTTTGATATTTAATATTCATGCTAGGTACCGCCTCCTTTTCCTGTACAAATAATATCGAAACATGCAACAACGACAATTCAATTTCGGATTCAAGGATTCATATCCTTGTTCCGTTCTCAAACTGTGTGCCACTCTAGCTCAGTTACAATTGTTAAATGTAAAATTATTATAATTATTAATTATTGCCTACTCGCAGATACAAATAAGCATTTACAATATAATTTACAATTCCAATTACAATTACAATTACAATTACAAATACAAATACAATTTCAATTACGTTTCTAGTTTAGTTTAGTGTTTAGTTTACTTAATTTATTTGTAGCTACTAACACACACAATCATGACTAATAAATTTCATCTAAAAATTATTAGTTAAACATAAATACTCACTAACAGTTAATTAATTTAAAAATCTTCAAGCCTGCATTTGCTTTACTATTCTTAAAATATATCTCCACCATTAAACACCCTTAAATATATGTATCTCATTATGCCATAATGCATAAATAGTTATTAACCTAAATTTACTTAGCTTTAATATTAGTTTTTTTCTTCTATATAAACAAGTATTTAATTTGTGCACCAGTCTTTAGTCAACATGCAGCCACGCCCCCACTTATAGTTTCAAAGCAAGAGCTTGGGATTTAGACACAACTCTCGGGACCCGGTAACGTATCTGTTATTATGTGATTGCGACTAGCGTTCGTTTTCTGTGTAATCGTTGCTGCTGAGCCTGAGCTCAAGTTGGTTGCATGTTGTTGACCCGCGCTTGTGCCAAGCGTGCCACCAATGTTATTGGCGTTATTGCTGTTAATGCCTAATATGGAACCCATACCTAAGGATTTAGGCAGTGTCATACCACCACCGATACAGTTGCCAGGCAACATGCCCGTCGTCGACTTACTCAGATTGTAGTCTATTAAGCTGCTTGCTGCTAAATAGTCGGCTATGCTTAGCTGTTCATTAGCTGCTGTTGATGGTGGTAAGTGCTGTAGTGTAGCATGTGCATGCTGCAGGGTTGTCGCTGGATGTGGTAGTGTATGATGATTTGTGTAATGACCGTTGACGAGACTATTTTGTAGTAATGAGGAAGCGGCATGATTTGTTAAGGAAGCATTACCAGCGCTACCACCCGAACTTAATGTGCTATTGCTGCCGGCATAGTTCATGTTTGAGTTGAGTGGATCATGGCGATTCATTGGCAGGGCATCGTAAAGTAAAGGCAGGTTTTGGAAATTCTTACGTGAATCATTGGTCAGCTTAAGTGTACTCGATTGCGATGGCGGACTGTTGAGTTGTTGTTGTAGTGGATCATTGGAAGGAGATACATTGTAATTGATTGTCGAGGAGTCCTAAGAGTATAAATATGAATTTATTCATTTTATGACAAAAGGAAATAGTTTTTTCATTTGATTATCTTGCATTTAATTTTTATTTATAATGTTTGTTTGTATAAATGCTTAAAAAAAATATATGTTTTGGCACCACCTAAAACTGTTTGAAGTATAAAATGTGAGTGTGACACTACGGTTATGACTCACAGTTTCGGTTGTTCTAAAGAATAGAGGTTGGCCGCTTTAATTGGAGTAACTTGGTGGTATCTTGGATTGACAATTATTCGGGAAAAATGATTACATTCATTTACTTTAATTCGATGGGGAGTTGTATTTTTCAACCAGGTGCTGTGACCCAAAGAGCAGCAAAGGTTTTTAGCCGGGCCTCTCTCTCTCTCTTTCTCTCTCTCAAAGAGGAAACTACATTCAAATGTATATATTATTGGTTTGGTTTATTATTAATTTATATTGTTTTGATGGCAAAAATAATTACAATTGACCAATATTTTTTTTATAAATATGTACACAATACACAAAGTATCCGGAATTAATAAAAGCAACACACAAGAAATGATCAATCAATGAGTATTTATTTTATCGTTTTTCAAGTACATAGTTCCAATCCATCGACCTAATCCGTCACATATTTTTCATATGATGTTTAAGGTATAACTCTCAACTTTCCTTTTTAAATTTTCTTTTGTGGTCGCAATTGGGTTAAAAAACTACTTTAAAATAGCCGTTTTAGCTTTGGGAACAGATATACGGAATTATTATACGGAATTACGATTGCTGAGTATTTGCATTGGTAGGTTTTTTTTTGGGAAAAGTTCTTAATAAAAGTTCGGATACTTTTTACATAGTATGTGTGTTCCATTTTAATATATCTACTTTCTTTTCGTACTTAATCAAAAGAAAACTTATCTGATTCTCAATGATGGTTTATCTAAGAGGCTTATCTAATAGTTAATTAAATCGATTTCTATAATATATATAAAATATTTCCCGCGTTTTGCATAAAATAGTAACATGTGCATGATAAATACTATATAATCACTGGCGGGTTGAAGGGAAAGAGCTTTTGAAAATGAATGATTTTGTAAAAAAATAAAATATAGTTTAAAATAATATTTCTTCCGCACACGTGTGCATTAAAAAATCTACAGTTGACTTAACATTAATGTTATCCAAAATAAAAATAAAAAAATAAACAAAAGAGAAAAAAAGAAATCAATACATTTAACTCACATAATCTGATGTTGATGCTCCAGAAAAGTTTAATTTATTGCCACCAATTCCAATATTATTGCCTACAGCAGGCGCACTGCTTGCAGCACAGTAAAGACCACTTGGCCGGCTGCCCATCGGAGATGATGTGGCGCTGCCGGTTGCACTCTTCTGTGCGCTCAATATATCCGGTTGTTTTTCAATGCCTTGCTTAAGTGTGTAGGCGACAACCAAACGCTGATGCCCAGCACCGGTTTCTAATGGAGCTGTAACAGTGACGTCCATGCCTAAATGTAAATGAAAAGGATATTTAAAAAAAGCAGAAAAGAGGAAACTTTTCGGCACACAAACTGAGGAGTTAAGACTTGCAACGCACACTTGCCACACAAATCAAACACATCAGAGATGCCTTTTTCAAAATTTCTTTTTTTTTTGTTTTTTTGCAGTTATTTTGCAATATTACAGCAAATTCATCACTTAAACTGTTCCCTGCACCATGTTGCAACAACAAACAAACGATTTTTCTTTCATTTTTGTTTGAATTTTTATTTACCCAAATGTTTATCCTTGTCATCACACATGCTGCGTCCACCTTGACAGCGTCGTTTGCGCACGGCTACAACAACAACGAAGAGCACAGCGATGCCAACCGTAAAAAGTGTGCCAGTTAACAGTGCTGCCAGTGGTAATATGGAAAGACCAATGCGTCCATCTGTAAAGCATATACAATAAAAAAGGATTGTTTTTTATTAAATGAAATTTGTATTCCTTGAAAAAGGATTTTAAAAAGGATTTTTGTGCACATATTTTTATTTTTCTCTTTTTTTATTTATAATTTTTTTATTATTTTTTTATTGTTTTTTATTTTTTTTGCCTCTTACAAAGAAGTTAAATTGAAGACATTTATTTATTGACCGAAAAATTGGAAAAATTTATTTAAATTTTAAAAAGTCATGCACAAGATCGGAAGAGTCATGATGATATGAAATAAAACAAATCGGCAAAGGGCAAAAAATATATTTAAAACACATTTTGAGCTCATAATAAATTTGTTAAGATTTTTATTGTAAAAGGTTAACAAGCATTTTCATTTATTTTGGAAGTCATTTCTGGTGGATAAAGGATATATTAACAACATCAGAAAAAAAGTACAAATTTTATTTCGAACAGATGTAATGTAAATGGATGGAAATTACTCGAATGGACTTTATATTTTTAGGTCAAGGAAGTATTTTTGTGCATTATGTTAAGAAGAACTTAAAAATGAATTTAACTATTTGTATTACAAGTATTCGAAGTTATTGGAAAAAATTTTTATATTAACAATGAAGTAATATTGTTAAATTAAATTTCTATTATTACTGGAATCATTTTAACATAATTAAGTATTTATCATTAAAACAAATTGTGGAACTGGACAAGATAACGACTTGGATCCATATTTACTATCAAAATACATAATATTCTTAAAGTCAACAGATAACCTGTTGTGAACAGTAATACATTATGGTAAGAACACTATGATGATATAGAACATAATGGTAAGAACACCATTATGTTTTTAACACACGTAACAGTATAATGCTTCAATAAACATCACCATTCAATTTCTAAGGAATAGCACCGATACCAACTGAAGCTATACCTTGGATATAATTTCGTACTTGGGAGTGAACGAGGTCTATTTAACACAGCTGCTGTTCTTCAGGTCACAGCATCCATTTCAAAATTTCTGCTCCACAGCGAATGAAAGCTTAATTAATAAATAATGCAGTTATTCATCTTGCTTAGCATTGGACTTTAACCAAACCCACCACTGCAGAAGCTTTGAGGAACTGTTATCTATTGGTGAGGATAGCTGACGCTATGAACACTGATGCCCATGGAACCAGATTTATATCTCCGATCAGGTTCCGTCAGGAAAACTCACTCACTACTATTTTTACATCAAACAGTATTGAGCAGTGCCTACTGGACTTTAGTCGTCTCCAACGACTTATATCAGAAGTATTCTAAACCCTTTTTCGCAGAGATTACCAATAAGACAGTATGTCATACTAACGACAGATAGTATGAAATTGTATTTGATGTTAGGGATTTATGAGCTACTTCTGGTTAGTTCATCGGCTGTACAGTTACCAGAAATGATTTATCTGATAACAATTGTGCATAGATGGCGGAAATCAAACACTTTTCTCCAAACGTACTAATATACATCTTGCTCCTTCGGTAGTCAAGCATAGACTAAACATTACAGCTGTCTGATAGTTCGCGCGTAAGTTAACAGTAGTACAACCAATACTGAAATGAGGATGGAACTCAATACATAGAAGACGGGTTTAACATTAAACTCTCGTTATTTTCTGATCAAACCTTATGTGAATTGTCATAGGTAGAAGGACAAATTCAAGAACAATGATAAATAATTTGTTCATTCCAATACTTCTTGCCGAATGTTTATTATATCTCATCAAATAATGAAAATTTATTACTATTTTTAATAAAAATATATTCAGGGAAAAAAAACATATTTATTTAATTAATTTATTGCATTTTTCTATTAAATTTTGATTGCTTCAAGCGTAACTATTTCAAGAACATAAATATTTATATTTTCATCTTTTCATAAATAAAACAATTTCATAAATTAAACAATTTCAATAGTTAACTTATATTTATAAATGAATAAAAATTATTCAATTCTCCTATGAAATTCATTAAAAAAAATATCTGATTCAACAAATTATTGAAATTCAAGCTAAAATTTATTAAATAAAATTTGTTCAATGAAATGTGAAAATGTAGCATTTTTAATTTTTGAAGAGGATTCGTTTTATGCTGAATTTATTCTAGTAGCTCTCAGATAGTAACCGAATTGAAATTTATTTCCTCACTTGTCAAATATTCATAATTCCAGTATTTCAGTATTAGGAGAACAAAAAAGTATATCAGCCCAGCCGTAGGCAAAACCAATAAATCATAACAAACTCAACTGAAACGGAATAAAATTTAACATTTATTAGCAGCAAATCAAATATAGGTAAATGCCCCCGGTTAGGCAATAAAGCAGCAGAAAAGCACAGGATCTAAAAATTGCCAATTTACAAATTTTGTAATTTGTAATCTGTAATTGTTACAGATACTGTAATGATGAAATTGAATATTCAAATGATGCGATATGAAATTTTTGAAAATATTTAATAATGCTCAAAGCAATATTTGCTACATTATTACGACTGAATTAGGCAAATATTTGGTGAGGATAGTTTGTTTCTATATTTTGGCTTTAAGATATGATTTTCTATAAAATAATTTGTTTCCCAAAAATTGTATTTTATTGAGTTTTATTAATTTAATTAATTTTAATTATGGAAATGTAATATTTTTCACACAAATGATTATTAGTCAATGAATATGACTGAGTTCAACATTTCTTTAACATAGATTCCCAGTCATAGAGATATTTTTATGCAATTGCAAGTCAAATGAACTGGACAAATGGAGTGCTATAGGTAATCATTCCGAATATCTTAAGGATTTGAGAATAACGCTGGCATCATGCAAACAGTTGTTGAAATTTTTCTGTGTTGTGTTGTGATGGGAAGCCTCAACTATATGCAGACTGTCTGTATGCATATTTGTACGCAAGTTGACTCAATTTTATTTAGAAAAACTCTAACAATCTTAAAGAATACTTCTGTCGTAGTTCTGGAGTGAACGAAGAAAGTGCCTCGCATTTGTTTTGTTACTGTCTAAAGCTTATGTGATAGTCGACGTCAACTAATTTTTTTAAAAGCCTACAAACGTTAAAGATCTGATTTCCTTCAAAGGAATATGTAAACTACTCATAATAAGCTCACAGTTTATATGCTTGAAGTTATACATTTCCAATTCTTACTCAACAAAATTTACTAATTAAATTGCTGACATAATTTATTTATTGGCAGGATTCAAGATCTGAATCTTGAATATTCCATGGAAAAGTTATTGGATGGAACTTACAGCATATAAGAATAACGATATAAGGATATGAAGAATGGAAAATATTACAAAAAAAAGTAATAATATTATAAGTGGTATGTCATAGCGAAAGAAAAGATTTCGTAAAGTCACTTAAAAATTCATACCAAAGATGTGGAAAGTTTTTATTATAATTTTCCATTTTAATTTTGCTTTGCCTTAACAGAAATAACAGAAATAAGAGGAAAAAAATTGAAATTTTCCCTACAATGAAATTTTAATAAATCGCCGTACATAATAAATGACAAGGCAATGAAAGAGTGCGGAGAAAATGCTTTTGTTTATTTTGTACGTTAATGTAAAAGCATTCATACGCAACGTGGCCCCACACTTGCTTCCTTTTCAATCAGAAACGTAAGTACATCCAACTCTTTGCACAGAAAGTACACAAAAAAGACACAATAACACACTTTTCGTTTATTTTGTTGTGCTTTTTGCGTTGTTATTCTTGTATCTTCAATTTTTGATAACAGAAGTGAAATGCACTTTTGCATTTATGCACCATGCCAGCCTGCAATATCCAATCAAATTTGGGAAACGGATGCAGTAGCAAAAAATGCATTCTTGAGTTATTAATTTTTAATTATTTGCGTGAAGATGAAGTGCATTGATAAATAAATTGAAATTGATTGAAAATAATGCGGTAAATAATTTATAACAACGAAATTTCTTCATTGAGACGTTGTGACAACTACAATTTGCATTTAAAGAATTTTCCAAGAAAAAGGAGAACATTTTAATTATGGCATAAATAATGTAAATAACAATTATACAAAAATACTACCATAAAGTTGGTATATCTGGTCAGTTTCTGAGATATATATGCAAACAATTTTAAACAAAAAACCAATTTATTTAAAATTAAAATTTAATTCGGTAGCTTAATAAGCTCATCCTCATCCTTTGGAGAGATAATGCTAAACATACCTTCATGCTTTATGTAAAAGCATTTTCAGTTATAATTATTTGCTTGAAGTAAAATATTTAAATATACATATATCTTCTCTTATTTATAAACATTTAACAGTCTTGTTGCTTTTACTTCTCCAATCATTGTTACCTTCACTTACATTGCATAGACAAAAAGCGCCTAAAATCCTGTTAAATGCTAAAGTTAAAACAGAGGCCCCTGCAGCTGTTTAAAACATTTTGCGCAAGAAAGTAACACAATTTCACTTTTCAAGGGAAAAACTTTAAGAACTTTGGCGTTTCTGCAGTGTGGGAAACTCGTTAGAAGAAATTTTTCATATCCTGCACGCTGGGTTGACAGCAGCATCGTCGCTGCTGACAAACATAAGGACATAAGTTAATAGAGACATTTACGTACGCTAATTTTGTTGAAGTATCTATCCTTGCACAAATCAAACTTACATTGCCTTGTGTATGTTGCCTTGTGTATGTTGCCTTGTGTGGGAACAGACAATAATTAAAAGCGTAATTATGCTAAATACGAGTATGCAAAGGCAAACACAAATGCATGTAAGTATATTTATTCGACTATTTAAATCTTTGCATGTGTTAACATTTATGCGAATATGTTAGATGTCTCCCTCTCTATACATGTATGTACATGTATGTAGATAGATGTTAAAGATGAGATATGAAAAAGCTTTGGAGCAATCAGCAACCGTCATGCTGATGTGTAAAATTAATTAATCATGATTAAATTCAACGTGTAATTAATCACTGAGA